TTGGACGCTTATCGTCAGGCGCTCGTGCAAAACCAACACCTCGCGGAGCTTGCTCTAGTACGTTTATTTTAACCTTTTTACTTAGTCATTCAATGTCAGTGGACTGTCTGTAGCGTTTTCCATGATTATTCTGTTGTCCCTTTGCCTGTTTTTTATCCTTAAAGCTTTGGATTTGTTTTTTTTGTCTGCACCCTCCCTACATTCTTGCAACTGTAGCGCCTAGGACTGCACAAGTTTCTCCTTTATACTCACAGCGTTGACTTCTGCTATGACTCCACCTATATCTATGCCCGATCGGACGCGTTCGAAGCCGTTATGGGTGAGTCTGTTTGTATAGAAATATCTACCAGTCTGCTTTTCCGCTTTATTTCCAATCTTCACTTTTGCTAAGAAAAGGTTTATACTTCTACTTGGGAATGTTACAACTGTTGGCTGAAATGCCTCCATCTACTCCCTTAATAGCTGCCATTGCGCTGGATGCTGGGCTAGATACAGTGGATCGTATCTTCGGTGCTGTGTTATTTGGCAACTGTCCACGTATCCACCAGGTCTGGGTACGTCTCCCTCCTCATCCCCTACAGGCTCAGTTTCCCGACGGTGATCGTCAGTGGGCGACCAGCGTTCCCATGCTCAAGGTGAGCCACGTGTCCCCCCTGCCCGCTGCTGTATTTTTGTCTCCTGATTCGACTGTTGTCGGAAGTATTCCACAGATTTTGTCATAGCCATAATTTAAGTTGGCTGTGCTCTTTTCGAAGTGGTTTGGGCAGATCTCTGGCACCCCACAGACGGTTCCTTTTCACGCACTGCCGCTGTTCGTTGTCAGGTGACTGTCCTTTCCTTTCGATGCACCGAAGGGCACTTGCGATTGTTTTGCCTCTATGATCTCAACAGTATTGGAAGTTCTGCCTTTGTGATGGCAGTCAGAAATCTGAGGCTGAACTGCATCTGTTGAAATCCTTAGGCATGATCAACAAAGCCTCCTTTATTGTCTTAAAAGACGTTTTTGCGTCTTTGTCCTTTATTTCTATTACCCCGATTAATCCATCCTCTTTGTGCGTGGAGCTATGTCTGGCTGGTCACCCAAACCGCTTTTGTTTAGCGAGTACTCAGCTGCATTCACTGCAAATACTGTCACGCAGTACAAAGATGGAAGGTTTCAGGCAGGAGTCTTATCTGTCGAAATATAATCGCTGTTTCAAATGCGAACCGAATGCCTCGTCACTATAATCTCTATAAGTGGCCGTATTTCAGCCTACCCAACACTCCGCATTTAAAACTTGTGCACATCAACCTCCATAGCGTGCGAATTTTATGTTGACGTTTTACACACACAGCTGATCATCTAATGAAACCAGCACTTTAGAACAGACGTCAAAAAGCATAGAACTGAGTCTGAAAGCGTTATCTGTAAAGAGACTCAATACGTTTACCTTGTGTTTAAGTTAACGGGGGAAATTTATACAAATCGCCTCTGTCTGTTTAGGTTCCTGACTTTCTATTTTTGATCCTCAACCTACCAAAATGACTCTGAAAAAGGTGACTACATCTGCGTCAGCGCATCTTCAAACGAGCAGTGGACACTGTGTCGCTGCGCTATAACTGCTGCTTATCTGACCACCAATCCTGCTATCAGTATAACCTTGTATTAGAGAAGGGCTGTGTGTTGTGGGCTGGAATGCTGTTACACTAGTGAACTCGGCAAGCTGTGGAAGGTGATCTGAAGGTGCTTTTCAGAGGAACAGCACAAAAAGTTTGTTTTTTCGTCTGTATTCGCGGCTCCAGGTGATACAATACCGAACTGCACTATTTGCCCTACGTGGGTGTTCATCACATAATATCCATCTGGATCTGCAAGAACTTCTCATCTCGCAACCGTTCTCTGAATCCTTCGCTGGCCACACCACCAGTCAAATAGTTATTGTAGGTAAAAGAGCCTAGGAAAATAATTAAGGGGAATGTACCGACGCACAAGTTGATTGGCACAGATAACTAATGGTAAGTCTGGGGCTAACACACCACTGCCATTCCTCATGTATCATAAAGGCAGTGGAAATCGGCCAGCTCTGCGCGATTGCTGTGTCATGAACTTTACTCACCCGAAGTTTTGGATTCCAGCTCGAACCCATCTTCACAGGCAGCGTCAGACCTTACTTCTTCTCAGCATTAGAAATGCCGAGGGCGCAAAAAAATTTGTGTTGATGTATAAAAGTAGGTAAAGCTTGCTCATGCGAGCGATTTAGTACGAAGCTCAATGCAGTTTTAAAAAACCTTTATTATGTGTTCTTTACTCAAATTATTCAGAATTACGTCCCTGAGTCAACTGCCCAATGTTTTATGGTGTTGCAAGGTACTGTTACGGAAAATCAATTGTGCCCTTTTTACATTGTTCGAGATTGGGTCGACTAAAGCAAAGAGGATTTCGCGGTATCAATGTCACAGAAATAAGTATTAAAAAGACCGCAAGTCAAGAGGCTGGTCATTAACCAAGAAGTGCCTGTCAATACTTTACAATTTCAGGTGTTCTAAATCGACTGTCAAAAGAGAGGGGTTCCGTGATTTTTCTATCAAAACCTTTTAAATAAGGCAGTTCTTGGTTGTCCTTTTTAAATGCAAATACGGTCTGGGTCTCCTTCGTGGACTTACCCAAACATGACATCCAGTCGCCGAAGGAACTGACCGTCCTCAAAGACTGCCTGCCATTAAGGTACTTTTAGTGCACGCTTGCCATCAGAGATCGGTAATTTTTCCGCTTCCGGCTAAAATGACTTTCATTTTTCTTTATGCTGGATTTATTTACTTTATCTTTGCTCGCTTCTAGCTTTATTGCTATACTTATAAATGCCGTTTTTAACACCGTGTCACCTCCATCTCACAATTGCGCGTTCGCAAAAATTAGACTGCACAAAGGTAGGCACCTTACCCGCGTCACCTCATGAAATTTTAGTCAAAATTCAACAATGTTTTCGAGTAGAAACCATTACTTAAGTAGATTTGTAGTAGTAAATATCCTACAATGTAATTCCCACATATTTGGTCTGACAGGATATCAACTTTGAAATGGGCTTCGTTTCGGCGGCCTGGAAATCTATACTCAGTAGCAACTGACTGCTTAGGTAACA